AGTTAGAGGGTCAAATAAAGATGGAAGAGATGTGTTTTTAGCCAATTCTTGAAGATGCTCGGATTGAGTTGGGCAGGTCATTCCATCAGGAGAGAACATTTAATTTAAGAGTCTTTGAAAGTGATTTTGTTCCTCTTTGGGATGGCACAATAAAGCGACGTTCACTTGATGAACGCAAGCTTCTAGAGGGCACATAAGTCTGAAGTAATGAATTTAGGTAAAGGGGTGCAGAGCCAGCGGTGGTTTTGTAGGCAAACATTAATGCCTTGAATTTTATGCGAGCAACTACTGGTAGCCAGTGCAAATTGATAAACAGAGGTGTGACGTGCATTCTTTTCAGCTTATTAAAGATTAATCTTGCTGCCACGTTTTGGATTACTTGTAAAGGTTTGATAGAACTGGTTGGTAAACCTGCCAAGAGAGCATTGCAATAGTCCAGCCTGGGCAGAACAAGAGCTTGAACAAGGAGTTGTGAAGCATGTTCTGAAAGAAAGGGCCTGATCTTCTTGATGTTGAATAAAGGAAATCTGCAGGACTGGGCAGTTTTAGCAATGTGGTCTGAGAAAGTAAACTGATCATCAATCATATCTCCAAGGTTTCTGGCTGTTTTTGAAGGAGTTATGGTTGATGAGCCTAGCTGGATGGTGAAATTGTGATGAAACGATGGGTTTGCTGGAACCACAAGCAGTTCTGTCTTGGCCAGGTTGAGGTGAAGGTGATGGGCCTTCATCCAGCAAGAAATGTCTGTTAGACATGCTGAGATGCAAATTTAAGTTTTCAATTCCATTTTTCTTATGTGATTATTCTATTTATCTTTAATTTATTTTTATATCAGCTTTAGTAATTATAGCTAGTTAATCAGTCTTCGTTTGAGTTTTAAACTAGTTTGATATGTGATTTTGTTTTTAATATTTCAATTTACTGTTTAATCCGTTTTTTATTTGAATTCCAAGTTTAATTTTTAAACTAAATTTTGTTTTGTGATTTATTTATTATTTTTTTTAATAGTTGTATTTAGCTTTCATTTATTTCTATTTACGTTTTAGGAATTTGAATTAGTTCACACTAAATGAAACTAATTTTCAATTAGTTGCCAAGGCAATATTTATAAATTTTTAGTTTAATCTACATTTACTAATTTCAGGTTTTCCTAATATTTATATTTGTTTTGATTTGTATTAATGAAAATGAATCTCCTGTTAAAATTGAATCCAGGGGAATTGTTTTTCTCCTTGCAGCATGTACTGCACATGATCTGAAGGCATTTAGAAGCAGTCATCCTGCATCAGTCTGTCTCTTTCTTTTTTTTTTTCTTTTACACACTTTATCCTTTCCCATGTTTTGACATTTTTCCCCTTCATTCCTCCCTCACTGGCCAGCTGGTTTCCAGCGCCACCTTCTGGACCCTATGATGAATTTCCATTACGCTCTGCGCAAGCTGCATTTACATGAAGAGGAGTATGTGCTGATGCAGGCCATCTCGCTCTTCTCACCAGGTACTTCAGATGAAGTTCAACATACACATCGAACACACACAGCCAGCTGTTTCACCTCTCAGGTGTGTGTGTGTTTTCATCCTCAGATCGCCCCGGCGTGACACATCACAGCATGATCGACCGCAACCAGGAAATAGTAGCACTCACCCTGAAGACCTACATTGAGGCCAAGCGGTCCGAGCCAAATAAACAGTAAGAAAGCTTTATTTCTGTCTCACTATAGGGGGAAAAAACTTTGATTGCACTTTTCTTTGAACCTTCTCCTCCTGCCAGTCTGCTGTACCCAAAGATCATGGAGTGCCTGACCAAGATGAGGAGTATGAATGAAGAGTATACAAAACAACTGCTGAAAATCCAGGACATTCAGCCTGATGTGTCTCCGCTTTTACTGGAAATAATAAGCAAAGACATCTAAGCCTTCACAGAGCAGATGAGACTCGACTCAACGGCCTTGAACTCGCTATCAGCCGCCACGCTGACCTTCATCTGAGGACTGAAATACAGTCAAAACCAGCGAGGACAAGGACTGTGCCTACTGATAATGAACTACTGAACTGTCTGCAGCACACAGGAATTGTGAAATTGTATTTTTATAATCGTGATACTAAATGTATTTGTGTTCCAGCAATCTTTTTCGGGATCTTTTCACAAAAGAACAATTTCTATGGTTCATAACCAGATGTAGGATGGCACGTATTATCTCTTACATTCACTGTATGAGTGAAGCTTGAAATGTGGGGTTAGATTGAGATTTGATTCACTTTTTCCCCAGTCTACAGTATGTAGAGAGGAGATGAACGCTATTATGGCAGCAAACATACAAAAAACAATAACAATATGATACATATTAGTCATTTGTGTTAATAGTCTGTCTTGGCAAATCTGTTTATTTATTGTTCGTTTTTAAATGCAAATAGTTTTATAAGTTAACCGCTTCTAGGTAGGCTATGTTGTGGTCAGGTTATGTAAAAAATATTCATATATAATATCAGTGCTAATGTCAGATGTGAGTAGCTGTATTTGATTCAAACATTTTTCAGACTAGAATGTAAATAGAGTTATGAATCTCATAAAGAACATGTTCAGGTCTTAATTTACTCTACCTATTTAAAAACATGTTTTGCATAATAAATGAAGCCTATTTTTTAGCCATTATTATAGCAATCAGATTTTTTTTTTTTTTTACAGTAATAAAAAAAATAAGCTTACTTTTATGCAAAATGTGCATTTTATCTTTGGACCTGGATAAGTTCTTGTCAGATTTTGTGAGATTCACTCTGATGTGTTGCTGGGTATCAAAAGAGTTGTGCTAGCTAGTCCTTTCATGTCTGCTGTGAATATTTTATATTAGTAGCAGAGCTTACATAATTTTGCGCAACATATGAATGTCTACAATTATGAAGAATCAGACAGGCTGCAAAAGTTCATCACACAGACACTTTCTTGAGAAGTCACTGCCTTTAAAATGCTTCACTCAGCAGTGAGCGTAACCTTTTTCACTTAATACATTCAGGGTTTAAAGCTAATTTACTGAGCAGACTCAGAATAGCTTTTAAAGGAGTAGTTAGTTCACTTCCAGAACAAAAATGTACAGATAATGTACTCACCCCCTTGTCATCCAAGATGTTCATGTCTTTCTTTCTTCAGTCGTAAAGAAATTATGTTTTTTGAGGAAAACATTTCAGGAATTATCTCCATATAATGGACTTCTATGGTGCCCGCAAGGCTCTAAACCTCTAAAAAAAAAAAGCATCTAAAGGCCTTTTTTTTCCTTAAAAAAATAAAAATGTATGTACCTTTTAACCTCAAAAGCTCGTCTTGTCTAGCTCTGCATGAACTGTTTTTTCCGGTTCAAGACAGTTAGGGTATGTCGAAAAACTCCCAACTCATTTTCTCCTCCAACTTCAAAATCGTCCTACATTGCTGCAGAAGTACTGACCCAGTGTTTACAAAGTGAACATGCAAAGAAGATCAAACACCCTTTATATAAAAAAAGGTAAACAGTGATGTAGGACGATTTTGAAGTTGGAGGAGATACCCTAACTGTCATGAACCGAAATGCAGAGGTAGCACAGAGCTAGACAAGATGAGCGTTTGAGTTTTTTTTTTTTTAGAAAATAACCGATCGTTTTGCTAGATAAGACCATTCTTCCTCGGCTGGGATCGTTTAGAGCCTTCTGAAGCTACATTTAAACTGCATTTTGGAGTTCAAACTCGGGGGCACCATAGCAGTCCACTATATGGAGAAAATTCCTGAAATGTTTTCCTCAAAAAACTATTTTTTTACGACTTAAGGAAGAAAGACGTGAACATCTTGGATGACAAGGGGGTGAGTACATTATCTGTACATTTTTGTTCTGGAAGTGAACTAACTACTCCTTTAAAGGTCATTTGTACCTTTTCTGGTTCGTTTTGTCAATGAAGCTAAAAAGGTTAATTAACCTTGACAATCGATGTAAAGATTGTGAGCTAGTGTCATATGAGGATGTGACATGACAATGTAGAGCAGATGTTGAGGGTTCAAACTAGGAGTTCGGTATTTTTTTTTGGAAAGGACCCTTTCACATATTTTACTCAAATACAAGCAGATTATTCAGATTTCAGGTGTCTCTATAAAGCACAGACTCGTTTAAAATGCCTTCAGGTTGGCATGCTGTGTAGATTAGGCAGTTATTTCATTCTGTCTGCAATATGATGAGGAAACTTGTCAATACGAGTAATTTCTACACAATACATTCAGGTTTTCTGTCTTTACAGTGGTTATTTTCAAAGTAAGACCCAGTGTATGACCCTCTCAGGAAAATAAAATTTAAAATTGAATGAGAATGTGTGCAGAATCTTTTACTGTGTAACTTAATAGTTTAAAAAAAGAAAGCTGCATTTATTTGATCACAAATATAGTAATATTGTGAAATAATATTACAATTTAATACCGTTTTCTCTTTTAATATATTTAAAAGAGTGATGCAAAGCTGAATTTTCAGGATCATAATTCCAGTCTTCAGTGTCACATGATCCTTCAGGCACATGAAGCGATCATCTCCTCTTTACTAGTTATAGCATGAAATAAACATGAATGAACATCAGAAGGTATCTTGTTTCAACTGCGGAAATGCACACAGTTTTTCAAGTTCAAGTCCACCAACGTTAATCTACTCTCCTGTCTGGTTTGTTTATCGGACAAAATGGCAGATTCGGCGTTATGATTGGTCAGATCGCCTGTCAATCAAACTCCTTGCAAAGGGTCAATTGACCCTAAAGTTGACTCAAACTTTCGCACAGTAGTGTAACACAGATGCTTTTATCCCAAAGCCACTTAAAATTCGTTTAAAGTATGTTTTATTTGAACCCAGGCACTTACAAGAATCACTTTTAAACATCTTAGGAATGAAGAGTGATGAAAAAAGAGACATTTAATTGCACTTTAATTTAGTCTAAATGGACTGAATTTGAGATTAGGGACATTTTGAGTTGGGAAAAGAAAGACGCGTGGCAAATGCAGGGTCATTTCCAAGCTATCCTACTCTTTATTTAATGCAAATTACAGTACCAGGTAACTAGTCTCTGAATCCAAGTCACACCAAGGACCAAAACGGACATATTTACAAGGAGAGGAGACATTTAGCATATCTTCACAGAAAAAGAATATATTTAAAATAAAATAAAAATTTCAGTCACAAACAGAGGCATTCAAGTAATATTAATGTTATACAGGTTGTATTTTTTTTCAATTTTTTCCCGTTTTAAACCAAGACAACATTTTTCCCAATAAGTGTACGTAATGCGATAGTCTGTATTTAGCCCACAGTCCTTAAAACATTTTTTTTTGTCTTTTTTTTTTTTTTGGTAATTGTTTTTAACCCTTGTGTCTTTACATTTTTACTCTAACTTTAGTCACGAGAAGTGGTCACACCATTCGTGGAAAGCAACACATCTATGAATGCGTATCTTACAAGCAAGCTTTACATTGAGGGTCCGGCGGGTGCTACGTGACATCTCTACTGCGTACTGTCAGCTGGCCAACGAGCGAAAACACAAAGAAATCATTATTATTGCCCCTGGGATGTCGCAGTCACATCACAACACGCTCATAGTTGCTTCACTTTGGTAGTGGAACGAGTGTAAGAACACACATTGTGATTGGCTCCACAGGAACATGACTTCCTCCACAAACAAAAACACCTTTGTGCCAAAAAATTAGGAAAAACATCTACAGCGTATGTGGTTTCAGACAGGAAATGAAGTCGGCTGTCAGTCATTCAGACTTGGCCAATCAACAGCACCTGCAGAGGGTCACAGGAAGGGGTGTGGTCTAGGAACAGGAAGGGTATGGAAGCAAAGGCACTCCAAACTATAGATACACTATACATTACTAGTTATAGTTACAATAATATAGCTGGCACCTACTGTACAGATCAGATTGAACTATATGGCTGGAGAAAGCTCCTTGTCTACAGTATCCAACAAACAGGTCATGTTTGCCCTGATCTTTTAAATTTTTTTTAAATTTTTTGACTTTTTTTTTTCTCTCTTTGATCCGTTCTCATTTAATCCCTCGTCTTTGTTTTCACTCATGAACAGTTCTCAGGTCAGCATATTTATGTACATAGCAGAACACTCATTCACTCACACGCGCTCACAAATTATACAAAAATCAAAACATAAGAAGTAAAAGCCAGAATTTGGTGAGGAGCAACTGTGCTGTACTGTATATACACGTCTCTGTCGGTTTCTTATACTGCTATAATTTGCGTATTAAGACATTTTGGGAAAGAAAAAAGTACATTTTTCTGTAAGTTACGCTGAGACATGACAAGAAAAAAGTAGTGGTTAAAACAACACAGCCACTGTGAATGGAGCGCAAACACAGTCTCTGTGAAGCCGGCGCCACATCGATGTGTTTCTTCATGTGTTCTTTACGTTTAGCTGTGTGGATAAGAACAATGAATCTGAGCGTTATGACACTGATGCGCACACGACAATAAATAACGAGAGCAAACCAGGACAGAAGGTGATCTCTAATTCTACCAGGCTAACAGAAAACAGCAGAGAAGACTCTTAGTCATACACATACTGTATCATTTCGATCAACCGCTGTGCTGAAAAAACTGATGGATTCTGAACTGATGATGCTAGATATAGATCTATATATAACTATATATATATATTTATTTTACATAATGCAAAGTAATATATAAACTGTGTATGTATATATCATACAAGCACACAGAGATTGAGACGCACGTCTCACCTGTCAATCAAAATGTCTGCCCTTGCCCTATAGCCCGCCCATTTTATAAAACAAGATAACATAGATTCAGTCGACTTAAAACTCCTGTAACAGAGTATTCCTCTGTTGTCTTTGTGGTTGGAACATGCGGTTTTTATATTTATACCACTTGTACGGTGCCTTGTGTTTGTTAGATACGATTAGATACGGTATTTCTTGTAGTTTTGAATGCTTGCATCGTTTTCACCCAAAACATATACATATATATATGTATATACACGCTATATGTATATATATATGTACTTTATACAAGGGGTGCTCCCAACCAAACTCAAGCCATGCGCTATTAAAGGCCCAGGACAGGATAAAGGGACAGAACGTGTAGCTAGAGACGGTCTAGGTGAGAGAAGGGGTGCCCAAATGAAAACGGAAGTGGATGGATCTGGCTACTGGATTGCTTACATAACAAGATTGTCCTCTGAGAATGAAAAAAAAAGAAAGTTATGGCTGGTCATGGACCAGGTTTTATGGTTAAACAACCCCCCCCCCCACCGACTCACTGCTCTCTCTTTTTCTCGGTCTCTGTCGTTCTCGTGAATTACACCCGACGAGGCATTTCCACACATGTAATTTTGATCTCTTTCTGAACTTCATAAAAAAAATGTTTTTTTAAATATGTAAATGAAGGTTGGCTCTTGCAGTCTGAATAAGAGTAGTGGTTGCGTGACTCAATTCCTGCCCATTAAGCTGGTGAGCAGTGGGGTGGGCGTGGCCTCGGAGACAGGGTCAGGTCTGATTGGCTAGGGCTCTCAGGTTGAGGTGTTGGAGGCGGAGGCAGAGGCTGCAGTTGTGGTCTGACTGCGATCTCCAATATTGGCATCTGGACACAAAGCGAAAACATTTGTATATATTGCATGTTATAAGGGTCAGTAAGGTGAAGGTCATATCTATTAAATTCTTCAAAAATACATTCAAAATGCAATTCATCTATGATTTGAATGCAGTTCATGTATGATGAACATGCTTTTAATTTCTAAATTAACATTAATTTGTATTATTTTTGTGGCAAAAAATAATAATAAGTAAAAAAATGCCAGCGTGATACAACTGTCTTGATACCATAATAAAATATTAAAGATATATTAAAAGAATAAAATTTTTATTAAATTCTCAATTGCGAGTTTACAGTATATCTCACAATTCTGAGAAAAAAAGTCAGAATTGCGAGTTATAATGTCAAAATTGCGAGTTATAAAGTCAGAATTGCGAGATATTAAGTCAGAATTGCGAGATTTAAAGTCAGAGTTGCGAGATTTAAAGTCAGAGTTGCGAGATTTAAAGTCAGAGTTGCGAGATTTAAAGTCAGAGTTGCGAGATTTAAAGTCAGAGTTGCGAGATTTAAAGTCAGAGTTGCGAGATTTAAAGTCAGAGTTGCGAGATTTAAAGTCAGAGTTGCGAGATTTAAAGTCAGAGTTGCGAGATTTAAAGTCAGAGTTGCGAGATTTAAAGTCAGAGTTGCGAGATTTAAAGTCAGAGTTGCGAGATTTAAAGTCAGAGTTGCGAGATTTAAAGTCAGAGTTGCGAGATTTAAAGTCAGAGTTGCGAGATTTAAAGTCAGAGTTGCGAGATTTAAAGTCAGAGTTGCGAGATTTAAAGTCAGAGTTGCGAGATTTAAAGTCAGAGTTGCGAGATTTAAAGTCAGAGTTGCGAGATTTAAAGTCAGAGTTGCGAGATTTAAAGTCAGAGTTGCGAGATTTAAAGTCAGAGTTGCGAGATTTAAAGTCAGAGTTGCGAGATTTAAAGTCAGAGTTGCGAGATTTAAAGTCAGAGTTGCGAGATTTAAAGTCAGAGTTGCGAGATTTAAAGTCAGAGTTGCGAGATTTAAAGTCAGAGTTGCGAGATTTAAAGTCAGAGTTGCGAGATTTAAAGTCAGAGTTGCGAGATTTAAAGTCAGAGTTGCGAGATTTAAAGTCAGAGTTGCGAGATTTAAAGTCAGAGTTGCGAGATTTAAAGTCAGAGTTGCGAGATTTAAAGTCAGAGTTGCGAGATTTAAAGTCAGAGTTGCGAGATTTAAAGTCAGAGTTGCGAGATTTAAAGTCAGAGTTGCGAGATTTAAAGTCAGAGTTGCGAGATTTAAAGTCAGAGTTGCGAGATTTAAAGTCAGAGTTGCGAGATTTAAAGTCAGAGTTGCGAGATTTAAAGTCAGAGTTGCGAGATTTAAAGTCAGAGTTGCGAGATTTAAAGTCAGAGTTGCGAGATTTAAAGTCAGAGTTGCGAGATTTAAAGTCAGAGTTGCGAGATTTAAAGTCAGAGTTGCGAGATTTAAAGTCAGAGTTGCGAGATTTAAAGTCAGAGTTGCGAGATTTAAAGTCAGAGTTGCGAGATTTAAAGTCAGAGTTGCGAGATTTAAAGTCAGAGTTGCGAGATTTAAAGTCAGAGTTGCGAGATTTAAAGTCAGAGTTGCGAGATTTAAAGTCAGAGTTGCGAGATTTAAAGTCAGAGTTGCGAGATTTAAAGTCAGAGTTGCGAGATTTAAAGTCAGAGTTGCGAGATTTAAAGTCAGAGTTGCGAGATTTAAAGTCAGAGTTGCGAGATTTAAAGTCAGAGTTGCGAGATTTAAAGTCAGAGTTGCGAGATTTAAAGTCAGAGTTGCGAGATTTAAAGTCAGAGTTGCGAGATTTAAAGTCAGAGTTGCGAGATTTAAAGTCAGAGTTGCGAGATTTAAAGTCAGAGTTGCGAGATTTAAAGTCAGAGTTGCGAGATTTAAAGTCAGAGTTGCGAGATTTAAAGTCAGAGTTGCGAGATTTAAAGTCAGAGTTGCGAGATTTAAAGTCAGAGTTGCGAGATTTAAAGTCAGAGTTGCGAGATTTAAAGTCAGAGTTGCGAGATTTAAAGTCAGAGTTGCGAGATTTAAAGTCAGAGTTGCGAGATTTAAAGTCAGAGTTGCGAGATTTAAAGTCAGAGTTGCGAGATTTAAAGTCAGAGTTGCGAGATTTAAAGTCAGAGTTGCGAGATTTAAAGTCAGAGTTGCGAGATTTAAAGTCAGAGTTGCGAGATTTAAAGTCAGAGTTGCGAGATTTAAAGTCAGAGTTGCGAGATTTAAAGTCAGAGTTGCGAGATTTAAAGTCAGAGTTGCGAGATTTAAAGTCAGAGTTGCGAGATTTAAAGTCAGAGTTGCGAGATTTAAAGTCAGAGTTGCGAGATTTAAAGTCAGAGTTGCGAGATTTAAAGTCAGAGTTGCGAGATTTAAAGTCAGAGTTGCGAGATTTAAAGTCAGAGTTGCGAGATTTAAAGTCAGAGTTGCGAGATTTAAAGTCAGAGTTGCGAGATTTAAAGTCAGAGTTGCGAGATTTAAAGTCAGAGTTGCGAGATTTAAAGTCAGAGTTGCGAGATTTAAAGTCAGAGTTGCGAGATTTAAAGTCAGAGTTGCGAGATTTAAAGTCAGAGTTGCGAGATTTAAAGTCAGAGTTGCGAGATTTAAAGTCAGAGTTGCGAGATTTAAAGTCAGAGTTGCGAGATTTAAAGTCAGAGTTGCGAGATTTAAAGTCAGAGTTGCGAGATTTAAAGTCAGAGTTGCGAGATTTAAAGTCAGAGTTGCGAGATTTAAAGTCAGAGTTGCGAGATTTAAAGTCAGAGTTGCGAGATTTAAAGTCAGAGTTGCGAGATTTAAAGTCAGAGTTGCGAGATTTAAAGTCAGAGTTGCGAGATTTAAAGTCAGAGTTGCGAGATTTAAAGTCAGAGTTGCGAGATTTAAAGTCAGAGTTGCGAGATTTAAAGTCAGAGTTGCGAGATTTAAAGTCAGAGTTGCGAGATTTAAAGTCAGAGTTGCGAGATTTAAAGTCAGAGTTGCGAGATTTAAAGTCAGAGTTGCGAGATTTAAAGTCAGAGTTGCGAGATTTAAAGTCAGAGTTGCGAGATTTAAAGTCAGAGTTGCGAGATTTAAAGTCAGAGTTGCGAGATTTAAAGTCAGAGTTGCGAGATTTAAAGTCAGAGTTGCGAGATTTAAAGTCAGAGTTGCGAGATTTAAAGTCAGAGTTGCGAGATTTAAAGTCAGAGTTGCGAGATTTAAAGTCAGAGTTGCGAGATTTAAAGTCAGAGTTGCGAGATTTAAAGTCAGAGTTGCGAGATTTAAAGTCAGAGTTGCGAGATTTAAAGTCAGAGTTGCGAGATTTAAAGTCAGAGTTGCGAGATTTAAAGTCAGAGTTGCGAGATTTAAAGTCAGAGTTGCGAGATTTAAAGTCAGAGTTGCGAGATTTAAAGTCAGAGTTGCGAGATTTAAAGTCAGAGTTGCGAGATTTAAAGTCAGAGTTGCGAGATTTAAAGTCAGAGTTGCGAGATTTAAAGTCAGAGTTGCGAGATTTAAAGTCAGAGTTGCGAGATTTAAAGTCAGAGTTGCGAGATTTAAAGTCAGAGTTGCGAGATTTAAAGTCAGAATGGCGAGATATAAAGTCAGAAATGCGAGTTTAAAGTCAGCATTGCGAGATTTAAAGTCAGAATTACCTTTTTTCATTTTTATTCAGTGGCGGAAACAGACTTCCATAGATATCACACAGAAATTATATAATTTTTTTTAATTTCTATGTTAAAATTCATTTTGATCATTTTTGTTGCATACAGTAAAAAATGCCTGCATGATATAACTGTACTAATACCATAATAAAATATTAAAGATATATTAATAGATTAACATTTAATTAAATTCTCATTAAAAAAAAAGCTTTAATATGTAATTTGGCATTATATTTGAATGCAAAAAACCCCCAGAAATTATATCATATAGACCAGTGTTTCCCAACCTTTTTTTAGTTGCGGCACCCTTTGGAAATTTTAACAAACTTGTGGCACCCTTTGGCATTTGAATTTCTAACTTTGATATGATAATTTGAAAAAGTATAGATATTCGGTACAACAGGGAAGAACTGCAGAATATAATGTCATACAGATATTTTTAATATTATTAAAAAATTGTGTCCATCAATGGTGGCAATCAGTAAGCTAATTTCTATTGAAGAGACCAATTTATATGACAGATTTTAATGTAGGCTTTTATACATATGTAAACATTATTTAATTATCATTATAACTAGCTATCTCACACATTTTTGCTCACTCAAGAGTTTTTTTTATTTTACAGTGGGGTAATTTTGGTGCAGTAGCACGAGATAGCTTGATTTCAAACTTTGAATTGAATAAAAAATGAAAAGTAAGCAGTAATAAAATAATAACAAATAAAGAAATGAATAATGATAGCACAAATAAAAAATAACAACAGGCCTTTGAATTAAATAAATTGCTTTTTAGTTTTTCAGGTAGATCTAACAGTAGGGTTAAGATATTAAATTGTTGTCATTTTTTTTTTTACCAATTATCCAAATAATGTTTAGTCCTAGAAAGCTATTATTATCAGAGGACAACACGTGAGCATAACATAACGGTTAGCAGATCAATGAATGAGAGGGCAGCGTTACCAGAGTTGCTCATATACCACACCATGCTACAACACAGTAGGGCTATTGCAGACAGAAACAATACTGTACTACATCCATGTTTCCTGTCGGCTCAATTTTTGAGTGGGCTTTGCTGTTCCGATGAGCATGAACGGTATACGAGTGGAGCGACTGAGCGGAGCGCACATGCATAGAGCGGGATAACGGAAAATACGCAGAGCGTCACACCACATGAAAGTGAAACCTGAGCAGTGAACTAATTTTCGGCAGCTAGAATTTCGGTGCATCTCTAATTATTGGCGACATCAGAAATGGATATTATATAATAGATGTTTTTTGTTTTTTTTACATTTTAGTAATTTAAAAATATTAAAAAACTATTTTTTACACGGCAACCCTGCTCTCGACAGACGGCAACCCAGGGTACCGCGGCACCCCGGTTGGGAAACACTGGTATAGACAAGTCATGAAGTCCCTCGTGACTGTGTGAAAAGTTCAATAAGTGTATTAAAATATCAGATAATTTGGCAAGCTTAGCAAGGTAATTTTTTTTAGTTTGTTTGTTATATTATATAACAGTATTATTGAAATACTAATATAGTATTTATTATTTTTTTATTAGCTGTTTTATTATTTTAATTTTAGTTTGTGTATTTCTATTTAGCTTTAATTCAGTTTTAGTAATTTTAGTACTTCAACTTGTTCAAACTTATTCACAAACTTATTCATTATATTAGAGTAAGTTTCCAACATTTCAATTTTTTAAGTTACATTTTTAGTCTAATATTTACATTTGATTTAATATTAGCTTTATTGAAAACAACAAAAATATTATTTAAACAAAAATAAAATATTTTTAATAATTTTACTTCGTAACAACACTGTAATATGTCATGTGGTGCTACTCCAATATTTCCTTTAAAAAGGAAATATTTTAAAATCTTTTTTGATAATGAAGATAAAGATAGAATAGGAAAATATGCTATTAATTTTAATGGATTGTTAACCCACATGACGTTTGTAGAGTCATTAAATTTACACGTTTCTTGAAAATGGTATAAAAGTTTATCAAAACCAATATAAAACGAACAATAAAAACAAGTGATTTGAATTTTTCTTTACTGTGTACATTTTATACATCATTGAATAAAAACGTAATTGATAAAACAGAGGTTCTAGCTTCTGGTTGGTCGATACAGTAACAGCTATGACACAAAACCCCCTGTTCACTAAAAATACTATAATATGAACACTGTATGAGAGCTACATCCAAAAATATAAGTGATGTCAGAAGAGCAGAAAAAGGGTCTGACCTGAAGTGGCAGAGGCGTTGGTGGGGGTAGAGGCTCCTGCCTGGTTACGTGCATGAGCAGGAATTAGGATAGAGGCCAGGGATGGGTTACTGGACAGCTCTGAGTCAAGTCAAACAAACAACACCAAAAGCTGACCACCTTGCATTTGACAGAACGTTTCTTCAAAAGAGCAAATGCAAAATAAGGCCTTACCTTGAGTTGTGAAGTTGAATAAGGATGGTTTCTCACGCCCGTTAGGAAGTTTGACATTGGGATCCCGCAGTTCATCAAAGAAGGAGTGAGCGCAGGCCTCTAGCGGGGTCAGCCGAGCAGTCGGGGTGTACTCCAACAGCCGCGAGCACAACGCAATGGCTTCAGGAGGCGTGCGTGGCCGAAACACCTACCGAGACAATTCAGAAGTTCACTAAGAGTATATTAGTAAAGTGTATATTTATAGTATGAATAAACTAACTGTAACACTTTATTTTCAGTGTCCTTGTTACATGTCTTATAACTTAAGGGTAACACTTTATTTTAAGGTGTCCTTGTTACACATGTTACATGTACTTACTATTGTCACAACAATAAATTATGCATAATTACATGCAAGTAACCCTAATCCTAACCCTAACCATACAGTAAGTATATGAAGTTAATTAATAGTAAAATATAGTGTAACCAAATTATGCATAACTACATAATTAAGTGTGCATTCAAACCTTTTTGGAATGAATAACCACATGTTATGGCATTATAACTTTTGCATAAGCTTTCGTCATTCTATCTGAATGATCACTCGTTCATATGCACATGATTTGCGATTAATAAAGCCAAGACATGTCTGTAGCTATGGGTGTTTTTTTAATCATTCCTAGGAAACCGAGTCATCTATGAACCATTTAGGAAATTATCTCACGTAGGCTACACATTTAGGATGATTATATGCACGTTTTTAAAAACGAGGCCCCAGGTTGACATTATAACAGCCTGCCCTGTATAGGGTGACACCATGTCCCATTATGGGCTGTTAAAGGAACTGTATACTTTTTTCTGGTTATTAAGGACGAAAAGCTCATATGGTTCTCGTAGCCAAGTCTTTAAGGTTTTGGTCTTCAATAGAGCAAGAAGTGTAGTAATTGAAATAAGACTTGTTTATATCTGGCTCAAGCTCTGGCTTACAGGAAGCGGAAGAAAAGGAAGGCATTTCTGCCTTTAGAGGTGTTTGAGTCATAGGCACTGGGGCATATCCTGTGCAGAAGGTAAGACTGTGTTGAAGGGAAGGGTCTGATTGGAGGATAAGACTAAACACACCCTGCAGCTCAGCTGTGTATTTCATACAATGACCACCAGGGGGCACATGAAAGCTCCTGCTATTATACTTCATGTGGACTACAGTGTTAGGTCAATTTACTTTAGTGTAATGGCCAGACAAAAATATCAATTTGAGATCTGCATCACAGTTTTCAAGAATTGTTAAGAAGAAGAATGATTAAGAAGAATGTTTTTTTAAAGCAATAAATAAAATGACATTTTGTTTGTGTACACTTCCCTTTCTAAGCATACCAAAGAAAAGTACCAAGACTCATTACCAGTTATAATGTCCATCTGGAACAGTTCGTCTGTCCTTCAAATGTGATTTCAAATGACTCAGCAACTTCAGTTTGATGTACATGGCAACAATTTCGGTTGCAAGGCATAACATGCACTACTGTTCAAGTGTTTGGGGTCGGTAGGATTTTGCAATATTTTTGAAAAAAGTCTTTATTGCTCACAGAAGTGGCATTTATTTGATCAAAAATACAGTAAATTTAAAATAACTGTTATCTATTTGAATATATTTTGAAATGTCATTTATTCCTGTGATGTCAAAGCTGAATTTTCACCTCATTAGTCTTCGGTGTCACATGATCCTTCAGGATCATTCTAATATTCTGATTTGCTGCTGGAGAAACATTTATTATTATTATTATTATTATTATTATAAATGTTCAAACATCTGCTTAATATTTTGTTGAAACAATGATATATTTTTTTCAGGATTGGATAAATAAAAAGTGATATAATTTGATCATATAAATGTCATTTATAAATGTCTTTTTTGATCAATTTAATGCGGAATAAAAGTATTAACTGCTTTTAAAATATCTTACTGACCCAAACTTTTGAAAAGTACTGGATACCACAATCCAAAAACCTAGACCACAGCGTAAACAACAATTGTAAAAAGTGTAATGAAGTCAGCAAGCAATGTCGAGAGCATGCCTGGAGAAGTCATTCAATTCAAATGGATATGAGGTCAGCTCTGTTCCAAAACCTAAACATGCAGCCGCCGCCTTATAATACAAAGCACACAAATACTGAGTAAAATATGCAGATTTCAAACTATTTTTATTGATCAGTTTTATTTAGTATTGAATGAACCACAATAATATTTATAGTACACATAACATTTATAATTCCAGAATCAGAATTTTTTTTTTTATCTTGACCTAATGCATTCTAGAATCGCCTTCTCCTTTCTAAATCAAGCTATCTTAGGAGGCAGCATAATTATTCCGCCTACCTTTTCTGAACCAGGCTTCCTACGTAGGCAGCTCACTAGGATTGGGAACAGACTGTAAGGTCACTTGGCTAAGCATTACAACAGAGCTCAGAAAGAGGATGTCTACATACAGACAATCCTGACTGAAATGGTCCTTCTTTCATCAACTAGTTGAGAAGTAAGTGTCAAAGAACACTAAATGAAATGCAGTCGGCGAGGCCTGTGTGGTGCAGACGTCTGGGTGATGTGAATGGAATGGAGTCAGGACAATGAGTCGAGCTGACGGCTGGAGGTGGAGGGCGGCTGTGCTAGAAGTAGTAAAACGGTTGTCCTGTACCTGTTTACTCACCTTAGTCCAAGGGTGGGCCTTAATCTGCGGGAATTTGAACTCGGTGTAGTTTGGGTTCATTTCCCGAATCTGCTCCCGTGTGGGAGTGCCCAGCACCTGAGACCACAAACACACAGAAACACCACTCAACATAACAGCAGACTGTTGCTTCAGCACTTACAAAAAGATTCTTCTTTAAAGGTTCTTTACATGTAGTAACAGTTTTATTTAGAACCATATCAGCCTTCTGTTTAAAACCATTTCTCTTAAGGGTGATGCATCGATTTTATTAAAATGAATTTCAAATTGTTTTTTTATATATATATATTTGAAGGTTACCTTGAAAACTCCTGAATTTATTAAGTTTCCAAACTCAAGTTTTCAAATGTCTTTGTTTTGATAAAGCTTGTTTTAAACTTTCAAGCTAATCAACAAAGTGTTCAAACTATAAAAAAAGTGAAACAGTCCTAAACCATTTCGATATTTATTTATTGAAAATAATAATACTTTTCTAATAAATTATGACTGTCCCTCAGATGTAGTGTCATTCCTATTAATCAATTTGGCAGCTAATAAAGAAATGAAGTTGTGAAATGAAGTTTCTGAAAAATGACTGAAATACTGTGTGATGCATGTTTGTTAAAAAGAAGTATACTTTACTTTTAAATACTTTTAAAAAGAGCACTTATCATGGTAATAATATACTTCAAAAAATATAATTCAAATGAAAAATAAAACTCAGACACTTAATTGCATGTTAATTGCAATTAAATGAAAATGTGTTTTAGTTTATTTATTTTAAATACAATTAGCTAAACTTAACAGTGCTTTTTTAAATGCTTAAAGTCCCCATGAAATCAAAATTAAAGTTAGTATCAATATGTTAGTCTTAAGGTTATCTATAAGGCAGTGTGCTCCAAAACAGTGACAAAATTCACATTTAGAAGATATAAGCATTCAAAGCTTGCAGTTCGTCACTTCCGCCAAAACGGCTCAAAGATTGATTTTTGACGTCACATCGTACTTCAGCTTCTCATCAAACTTTCTGTCCAATCAAATGCTCTCTAGAATCTGAAGCGCCCGAAGCCGCGGCTGAAATCATTCACTTGTCCACAGAATTAGTGTTCCCATTCAGTCAGTCACGTTCAACGTTACGTCAGTGACTGACGAATTGGGATCTCGCCCGAGAGCCCAATCACCTTCGAGTGTTAACTAAACAAGACAATGACAGTTGGCGTGCGTGTTTCGCCACGCGCACCCCGCCCCGCAGCGCGGATATAAAACAGGGAACGATTCAAACAGTATAAATATGCTTTCCATTGAGGAAAAAAAGAAGTCTGGTTTGGCACTGTGTCACACTAACCACCGCACCGCACACACACTCTGCAGAGTCACGATAGCACGGAGTGGATCACATGCGCGAGTCGGTGCAGACCACAAAATGTATCGGAGCTAATTGAATTCTACACAGAATGCTATATTTTATAGCAATATGGATGAGATTGTGGCTGGGCTACCCTGTCAAATGCGGCTTTACCGAGCTTATAGCAATATGGATGAGATTGTGGCTGGCATACCCTGTCAAATGCGGCTTTACGGAGCTCAACGGCTCTGAACGGCTTTAGCCCAAGCTGTGATATAAGCGAATGCTATTGGCTATTTTAAAAGGGGGCGGGGCTGCTTGATATGTCCCGCCCTGTCTTCCTGTTTCAGTTTAAATGACGTCAACACATAGAGTAACGCTGTGTGTTTCTAAGCATTTCAGGGGACCTTTAAAGGGATAGTTCACCCAAAATTGAAAATGTACTCTCCCTCAAACAATCCTAGGTGTATACAACCTTCTTCTTTGAGACAAATACAATCAGAGTTATATTAAAAATGTCCTGGCTCTTCCAAGCTTTATAATGGCAGTAAATGGGTTTCGAGATTTTGAAGCCGAAAAAAGTGCATCCATCCATCATAAAAAGTGCTCCACACGGCTCCGGGGGTTAATAAAGGCTTTCTGAAGTGAAGCGGTTCACGAGAGAGTGGTGTTCCAGCAGATGATATATATATAAAGTATCTTTATATATAATTTCATATTTACTTCTAGTGTCTTTAAAATATGGTTAAAATGTAGTGATGAATATAATAACAAGCATTTATGGTAAACTAAAATACACTTTGATGTCATTTCTATTGAAACGTGCATTGAATGTATTTCAATATATTTGTAATTACACAAACTAGTAAAAGTTTTAAGAGAGTTCACTTTACAAAACGGTTACAAAAAACCCATAAATCATGTTAACAGTCTTGTATAAAACTCCCAATCTAAATCAACCGACTGTTACGCAGCAATTGTTGCTCTTCTTCCTACAGACTCATGCAAACACTGAGATTAAATCACAGACAGAAGTGGCGGTGTGGCGGCGCCAGTACCTTGATGATTTCCACCAGCTGATCCACTCCGCTGTCGCCGGGGAAAATTGGCTGTCCTAGCAACAGTTCCGCCAACACGCAGCCAGCTGACCACACGTCTGCAGTGAAAGCGGGTCAGAGAGATACTTTTAAGCAAGAGGTCAAGGACTCGTACACAGAGCACATCCTAAACTACGGCCTTGCAAAATCACCAACAACACGTCAAACCAAAAAAAGCACAAAACAGTGCTCTACAATAATCCACGAGTTCATGAAAGATCCTTCAGCTTCATAATCTTTTTATAGGGCCTATTTTCTGAAAGAATGGTCAAATGATTTGACTTTTCAATGGCCGATCATGTAAAACCAATTGAATCGCAGTCAATAAAAATGTGAAAGAAAATAAATACAGTGGGTACGGAAAGTATTCAGACCCCCTTAAATTTTTCACTCTTTGTTATATTGCAGCCATTTGCTAAAATCATTTAAGTTAATTTTTTTTCCTCATTAATGTACACACAGCACCCCATATTGACAGAAAAACACAGAATTGTTGACATTTATGCAGATTTATTAAAAAAGAAAATCTGAAATATCACATGGTCCTAAGTATTCAGACCCTTTGCTCAGTATTTAGTAGAAACACCCTTTTGATCTAATACAGCCATGAGTCTTTTGGGGAAAGATGCAACAAGTTTTTCACACCTGAATTTGGGGATCCTCTGCCATTCCTCCAAGTTGCAGATCCTCTCCAGTTCATGAATATGTTTCTTAACACACTTTAAAAAATGCACTTTGTAATGTTACATTTTAAATCATTGTTTTAATATTTTGTTGAGTTTGATGTGTTGACTAATATACTGAAGCACATGTAAAATGTAAAAATTTTAGTTCATAAACACATTATTGTTACACATAATTATTGTTATTATGCTAATTCTAAAACTAAAGATATACTTAAGTCCTGATTAAGTGTGCCAAAAAAACAAACCAACTAACTAACGTTCAGCTAACTGCATTTGTTATAAATCAAACTATAATACCTTTGTATTTAATTGCAAATAACATGTCATTAAGTGTCTGGAAACATTATATTTACTTAATTACACTTTTTAAAAATGCTACAGTATACTTCTTTTTCACAAGGGTCACTTTTGTCATGAATTTGCATATTTATCATGATAAGAGGTGACAGCAACATAAAGGAGGAGTAGTTTTTCGAAGCAGAAATGATTTGCATGGTAGTACGATTAAAGCTCATGTACCTATGCTAGAGGTGTAGTCGGTTGCTCCAAAGATGAGTTCGGGGGCTCTGTAGTACCGTGAGCATATGTAGGAAACATTGGGCTCCCCACGTACTAACTGCTTAGCACTGCGAACAAAAAGACAGATTGAACAATCTCTGATCACACACATCACCATTTCATTCAAATATTCTGCCTTGTGGAGCTTATTGGCAGGATAAACCCCTAAAAGTAACTCTAAATGGCAAATGAGCTAAGAGATCTAAAGTGACCTGAAAGCTAAAGACGGTTTCTTTGTTTAGATGGTAAGCGAGTTGCTAACATTTTAAAAGCATCTCAAGGCTGCTTGCAGTGTACATGAAGACTGCTGCTAATCTGTGTCCTCATTCAAGGAAAATTTGCATTATTTTTGTCTAGTCCTCAGTATAAGGTATTCATTAACAAGAGGCAAAATCGCATGCCCTAGTTTTCAGATGCAAGGCAAAGGAGAAATGGATACCCAAATATCACTTCAACTAAAATCTTCACTAGTGTTCTTAGGCAGACAAATGTGAAAAGCACAGAGGTCAGCACAGATATCTCCGAGCATAGCGAGACCATCTGGAGGCCTCTGGTGAGGTGTACTATGGGATTTTCAGGTTAAATGCAGTAAAGCGTTGCTTTCGGACCTTTGAAAGGTTATCAGAAAACCATTGTCTCCTATGAATTGGCTATCAAGAGATTACCAACTGACCTGCCAAAGTCACAGAGTTTGAGCACGGCTGTGTCTGGGTCCAGCAAAAGATTCTGCGGTTTGATGTCTCGATGGCAGATCCCAAAGGAATGGATGTAGGCCAGACTCCTGAAGAGCTGGTACATGTACAACTGTAAAGTAAATATACACAAGTCATGAGGTTAGCAAAGCGGTCATAAAAACAGGTCACAAAAAAGGTACCCTAAAAATGCATAATATAATTTAGTTTTTTTATATTGCTTGTAATATCAAATGATTTACTGAAACTCTAATGATAATTCTCCAGATCTGTTGTTTCAAATCCAAAATTACTTTCTTTTGTCCATGGAACACAAAAGGTGAATCCATATAATGAAAGTGAAAGTGAAAATGACTTAAAAACCACCACAGTACTTTTTAAGGGTCATAAAAGTGTTCTACTTGACTATTCTGAAGTAATATGGCAAATATGGCACCACTGATATTAATGGCATTTTATCATATCCATTTGTCCATTTTTGGAGAGGGGAAGATTATCAGAGAATAATGATTTTTGATCTGTTCATTACCAAGACTTGGAATATGGTTCATGAGTCATATGGAGTACTTTTATGCCTCTCTTATGGTGGTGAGTCCCTAGTCCACATTCACATTAATTATATGCAAAGATGTGGCCACAAAATTCTTCAAAAATACACCTTTTTTGTTCCACAAATAAAATAATGTAAATAGGTTGTGTACTGGTATTTCCCTTACCATTATGTTTTTCCTTACATAATGGCACAAAAATAATGACACTTGTTTAATGAAATATTCATTGAAAATTATTATTTTTTTAATAATAATTAAAATATTGTATATTCTTCATAAAAATTCCCATGGAGGAATTCCCATTTACATGACGTTACATTACATTTAGAAATCACACTTAATTTTAAAAAATAAAAATTCTGTCATTAATTACTCACCTCACGTCGTTCCAAACCCGTTCATTTTCAGAACACAAATGAATGATATTCATCAATATTTCTGATGAAATCCGTATTTTTTTAATAATAATTAAAATATTGTATATTCTTCATAAAAATTCCCATGGAGGAATTCCCATTTACATGACGTTACATTACATTTAGAAATCACACTTAATTTTAAAAAATAAAAATTCTGTCATTAATTACTCACCCTCAAGTCGTTCCAAACCCGTTCATTTTCAGAACACAAATGAATGATATTCATCAATATTTCTGATGAAATCCAAGAGCTTTCTGACCCTCCATAGAGGGCGATGCAACTGACATGTTCAAGACCCAGAAAAGGTAGTAAGGACATCGTTAAAATAGTCCATGTGACATCAGTGGTTCAACCGTAATTTTATGAAGCTACGCAAAGAAAGCTGCGCAAAGAAAACAAAAATAACTTTATTCAACAATATATTTTCTTCCGTGTCAGTCTTCGACGTGCGTTCACGAGAGTATAGTAGAATCTGCATGTGTCATGGTACTCTTTTTTTTGTGCTTGCTTTCTGCATAAAAAGTAATCTTGTAGCTTTATAATCTTATAGCTTTATAAAATTAAGGTTGAACCCCTGATGTCACATGGACTATTTTAACGATGCCTTTACTACCTTTCTGTGTCTTGAACGTGTCAGTTGCATTGCTCTCTATGCAGGGTCTGAAAACTCTCGGATTTCATCAAAAATATCTCAATTTGTGTTCCGAAGATGAACAAAAGTCTTGCGGGTTTGGAACGACATGAGCGTGAGTAATTAATGACAGAATTGAAATTTTTGGGTGAACTATCCCTTTAAATGTTTGTTTTGCCCTTAATAATTTTAAGTAATCCTGATGTCCTCTTTAATGTGAGCTGAGACTCCCTGGTTGAGAACCACTAATTTAACTTCTAAGTGGAAAGTTTTCACATATAATTGTATCTTTACATATGTTTACGTATGTGAGTGTTTGACTATTTATGTCGCATCCTGCCAATAGCAGGAAGGATATAGCTCAGGACGCGGCACAAAGCAGTGATGATGCCATCACAGCAGTCAAGACACTGGTGACGCAAAACCGCACAGGAGGAGGGGGAAGAAACGCCAACACACACTCGGCTGACCCGTATACTCACCAGCGGGAACAAAACCTAAGGTTTTTATTCAGGATGTACACATCACTCACACAAGCACACATTAGGAACAATCCGCACCTTCACATAAACCATGGGAAGGGTCTGCTTAGCGCGGCTGTAGTGTCTCGCCACTCTGTAGACGGTCTCAGGGACGTAGTCCAGAACCAAATTCAGATACACCTCATCCTTCTGTGGACAGAGAACAAGAAAGCAAATACTTTAAGTCACAGAGTTAAAAGTGTCAGGCTTTATAGCACATACATATATAACTTCAGTGAATCTATATATAAAACCAGCTCAGTATGAAAGAGGATAATGACTCTGAGTCAATGTCTATGCTAAAAATGTCTTATACGCCACATCCCTCCATATATCTCCATGACTGAACAACCAACTTGCGAACCGTAAAAAAAGCTGCGACACAAAAACAGTCAATTCTCTGGCATGATGTCATTGTGGACGTTGACTGCCATGCATTGTGTGGAACCGTGCCTGAAAGCGAGCGATGATTGCGCCCATCACCTTTACATAACATACATGCTCAGACGTTGAAGTCATATCCTCCTGAAGAACTAAAGGAAAGGAAGAGCTCAATAGGGTGGCCTACAGGGCCACTCTGACCCCACGTCTGATGTCACATCCTGTCTATTATGCCCTTCTTCCTTCCTCCACAAGTTCAGCTGTGAGAGAGTCTATTTCTGCTGGATCTGACATTCCTGAGCTCATTTACTTGAGTCAAACCAACCAACTCTGCTACACTTGTCAAGATACTTCAATATAAGAATAACTAAGATATCCTAACATAAAAGATATAAAGATAGATACAAAATATAAAGGGACTATTTCACCCTTTACGCATATAACTTTATTTTATTGAATAAATGTACCATAATGTGGTCATTTTGTCATTTTAGCTTGTCTTTTTTTTTAATGTAAAATATGTAAAACAGCACTCCAAAAGTTTTGCTATGTATCTTCTTTGGTGTTTCACCAGAGCAAGAAATGTTTGAAAGGAAGGTGAGCAAATGATTACATTTGG